AAAAAAAAAAAAAAAAATACATATACCGTACGTAAAACAAAGTTAAGGAAATGGCAGATAACAAAAAAATGTGTTACTCTTTGCCTTTATGATGAATTCTGATAACACACTGCATTGGCGTGTTACTCTTTTAAACAACGATAATCATTTTCACAGATTTCCAGAATTGTAGAATCTTTTTTGTTCAAATAAATGATGATACGGTCAAGAGGCAGACAGAGTATCTGGTCTATTCAAGTCCTCCATTTTTAGACCAAAGCAACACACGCTCCACGTGATCAATACATCGTCTTCTCCACTGAAATTTCCCTCCCATTTTCAGTTTCTGAAGAAACCCTAACGTAAATTGTTGAGAAATCATTCCAGAATTTCTGGAAAGCTTGCTCTCGGGATTTCTCAAGATTCTAAACATGGACTACAAAGATAGACTTATTAACCAACAAGGTTAGTCACGCATCCCCATTTTTCTAGCTCTCTCTCTGTGTGTGTGCGCGTGTGTGTCTGTTTATATTATGTTATCTCTTATAATATCCATGCATCGAGTAATGATAAATTGTGCGTTGTGATTTCGAGCGATTTTGATGATGTTTAGAAACTCGAGTTCATTTTTCTGTGACTATTTTTCTTTCTCGTTTAATTTCTGAGAGGGGCCCTGGTCGATTCACTCTCTTCCTTTATTATTTGGTGAAAAAGCATGAATCTTGGTAGTGTTCATGTAAATAGTTTCAGCTATGGAACAAGACGAAGGGCAAATGCATCTTCCACTCTCTACCTCTTTAAGTCGATACTCAGTCCCTTCATCCAACTATCACGATCTTCAAATGGCAGTCCTAATAGAGATGGAGAAGGAAAAAATCAGAGAGGAGATTATCATTTCGGAGATTGCGAAAAGGAGGGTCCTTCAAGCTGAGGTGAGTAGGGAGCTCATGAGGTGGGTCCCGGCTATTGGCAGCCATGTTTTGTTCACTGAGTCCTTGAGACTTTTACATTTGGAAGAAAGAGTGATTTTCATGGACGAGGCCAAGAAGGAAAGGCACGAGGGCTTGGGAATTGAAACGCCTCTTTTTCATGGAAGGACAGGTGGTTTGAGAATCCCAGAGGTTAAGCCTGTATGCAGAGAGGGCAGTGAAGGAAATAAAATCATTCTTCTGGTATGTATTTCTTTCTTGGTTTTATGTTTTGGAATTCTGTGTTTTGTAGCTTTTTGTGTACTGGAATTTGAATTTTGATCTCTGTACATGGGTGGTTTTGGAAAATTAAGAGCTATAGAATAAGACTCAAAATATGATTTGTTCATGGGCATTACATGTTGTGCACCCTGGTGTTTGTGTGTAATATGGGTTGTGCTCTACATATATAGTCATTTGCCTTTGGGATGAATCTAATCTGATTTTATGTTACTAGTATGCAGGATATTATACATTGTTGTTATCTAAATGGTGGTATTAATTTGTTTCATTGACCTCTAGCTTAGAGTATAAAGCTTGAAAATGTTTTACCACACAACGATGTACTTTCTGAATATCATAGGGTCACACTTTTTACTTGTGTTTTCAGTTGCCTTGACTAAGATCATGCAATTTACATTGTTTGGATAAGGTCGCATGGACCAATTTGATTTGCTCATCCATGATTATGGAGATTGAATTTTATTTTGGAGTTTTGTAATCACTGTCATGCTTGTAACATTTTAAATTTCAAGATCACCATTGAAGGATTTTTACCTGCATCTTGGAAATCCACCTAGAAATATATTACTTGAGTTGGGGCAAAGATCCTAACTTTCGATTTTTCACCCTTGCATTTCCTGGACCTAATACTTCTGTAATGATTATTACTAACATATCGAGTATTTTTTATCCCATAGGTATCGATCATGATACATACCACATTATTGACTTTTTTTTTTCGTTTATGATAAAAACTGAATATCTCTTTCAGTTAAAATCTCTGTTTTCATATTTGTGTTCCACGGTGTTAATTCATCTCTCTATAGGCTATGTTGACATATAAGTCCTGCATTTTAATTTGTTCAGTTATCTTAATTGTATAAACAACATAACTGTCATAAGTTGATCAAATACGAGCCCCGAGAACTAAGATATACTTTGTTCTTTTATCACTTAAACACGACAAGTGTAATACCACCTTATATTGTTATGATTGTTGTAGGGCAAGCCTGATGGAAATGTGTCTGAACTTAAGGGGAAGGAAGTCACATCAGATTGTAGTAATGTCAGATTTCAAACACTACCATTTGTAAGTTATGCGGATTTGGGAGTTTCTTCAGAGATTAAGCACGAGAAACAGAATGTTAAGGTCAGTTTGGATGCCTTTATCTCAGATTACTTTGTTTGTTAGTCATTTTTCTGATTTTGCTGTTATTACAACCTTATTGGAGGTCTTCCATTTGTTTCTTTTGTTATTTTGTGTAGTGTAGATGACAGTGAAACTTCCTCCATACATTGTTTCTAATATTAACCTTTAACTTACTCAAGTGATTCATCGAAGGGAGATTGGAGATGGATTTTTGTTTTCCTGTTTTTCATCTTTTTATAAGGCGGCTATAACTTGATTGAACATTGTTTCTATTAATTCCAGGGCAAGGTTGATGAGAAAAAATCGGGAGTAAAGAGGAAGTCAGTGTCACAAGTGTCAAGTGGCAAAAAGCCTAAAGAGTATTGGAATTGTTCTATTTGTCACATCAACTGCACCGGGAAACGACCTCTGGACAATCATATTCAGGGAAGAAAACACAAGGTGAAGGAAGCTGCACTTAGAGACAAGAAAGCTGGTAAAAACTTCTGCATTGGGTTTCCAAGAAAAGTAAAGCTGTGGATGAAGGTTTGAATAATTCTGCTGCAATTGTCACACAAGTTCAGCCACCTGCCCCTGATGCTGGTGTGTATTCCTAAATTCATTCATCATTGTTGTGTGTATTGTGGAGTAACTGTTAAGTCTGATTACTGAAAACCAGATATTGACTTCTCTTTAACTTCTTCAATCAACCTTGTGACTAATTACTTCAAAACTCTGAGCTTTTATCCTTAAATTAATGTCGATTTGTTGTAGTTAGTTGTAAATCTTTGGAAGGCAGTAAATATGACTTAGGAGCTAAAGGGATCATGTAACTGAATTCCGAATTTGGATTTTAGGTTTGTGTTATCCTCCAGTTATTTAATAATCCGGAATAGTTTGTCTTGTCTACTAATAGTTCTGATAATGAAATGTCAATTTAACTTTGAATATGGCAGCATTTTTGTGACCGGACCATATATGCTTTCTTTGGCAGAATCTTCCACTATTAATCAACGAGGCATATGTTGATGCGGATAAAAAAAAGTGTCCTTGTAAGTAAGTATATTGCTTATTTATTTTTCATATAATGGTGCTAGAATGTAATATCCTTTTCTGTCAGGCTGGAGTGTGTACGGTTCAAGCAGTAACTGATTTTTGTGGCATTCAATAGGGGAGTGAAGATTGGTCTTTGTGTATCATCAAACGAAAGAAGATGAATGTTAATTAATCCGAATCTATATTCGTATTCACTTAGGCTCAAATATGTAGTTGGTGAAGGTGTTGAACTATGCTTTATACACTTTCATTGTTATGCCTCTTCATTTTAGTTGGGTCAAAAACAAAGACATTCAACTTATGTAGGCTTCTCTTGTTTTGGAAATCTATTTCTCTGTACTGTTCCATATCCATATTGCCCGAGAGAAAGATAGCCAAGACATAAAGTAGTTGACTAGTTGTTTTCTCTGCATTAGAAACAAGCAAAAATTATTCCTTTGTACTCTCGGCTTCGAGATTTGCACATTCTAACTGCCCCCGAGTGCACAACAAATTCTTCTGCGTACATGTTGAAGAAAACACACTTGCAATTAGTACCATGAATATTTAACAAGTTGTCATTACATAAATTGATAATTACAAAGAACAACACCCGTAAAGCTTAGCCGCATTAATTAAATATAGAATTTTTTTGAACACCTTTGAAATTTATTTCTATTTTAAGAATTAGACCTTCAAGAAAGTGATTTTTATGTAGGTAAAACATAACGGAAAGCACTATATTAAGGAGTATCATTAAATTGGGAAGATAATTACATTTATATTTACTTAAATAAAGAGAAAGACTGACGAGTAAAGAGGAGGCATAATAGAATGATAACACCGAAGAATTGCTTTTCCATATAATGCTTTATCTTGAAATTCCTACAAAATTTATTGTCTCCAGTAACAAACATATCAAGCTCACTACTTATAATATGTGGCATAAAACTTCTTGTTCCAAGAAATTGATGCGGAATTGGCGTCTCCAATATTGAGGCAAAATTTATTTGATGCTCATTTCATTCGGGACCATAGAATGATACTGTCAACATTGTAATATTGGAAAAGTGGAGCAAGTAATATTTTCCATAGCTTGCGGTTTTTATACTTTATTTCTTTGGAAGAAAAAAATAGACTTATAAATGTATGTTATTATCAACAATAATTTTTTTGTTTATTTTACATTTTAAAATTTTATCAACTAACTTAATAGAGGAAAGAAGATTATGTTTGTAATATAATGCATCTCATAGTTTGGCCTATGAACTAGAACGATATGGATGAAAGAGTTTGTGAATGAATATTGAAATTGATGGGAAATGATGGATGAAAGATTTTGTGAATAAATAATGCAGAAAAAAAAAAAAA